GGTTACGAGTTGTCAATTTATTAATTGTCTTTTGTTTGGAGCGCACTTGTCAAGCTGAATAAGGACACGCACCTGATTACGCATAGAACTAGGCCTAGGCTACCTGCCCTGCGTGCAAATGTAGGCTTATTAATGTGCACATTTTGGGTATCTGATACGATTTCTGATTGTCTTAACTCACCATTGTCTTAACTCATTCTCAAATAATTTTTTTCTTCGCCTCAAAAAGAAAGTAAACGAAGTCTGTTTTTATATCCATTGAGAGTGACAATAGTTCCTCAACTTAGCCTATTTGAAAAATCTTTCCAGCTCTCTCCCTTTCGATAACCACTCAGCATGAAAGGGGAAGAAATGTCATAAAAAAGGCCAACCTGACTACTACTTATCCCTTGCGCAAATAACCTACAGCTGTGTCTGTCTGTCCGGAGCTCACTAGAGATGCATAGCCAATTTGATTTTATAGGATATTTATTTTTATCAGGATATTTTCTACCTGCATGCTGCAATGTTTTTATTTGTTGGCTTTATGTAGGCTATTTTTACATATTGGCAATGGCAATAGAAGTTACTTTTAGATTTGTATCATTTTCATTTAGATAGAATTTTGATTAACCACATGACATTGATTTTGAGATATGAAGACTTTATTATAAATGAAATGAAACTGTTCCACAAAAATGTGCATATGAAAATCATAACTGGCACGCATAGAAATGGTACGATAACTTGGCATTCCAAATGGAAAAGGTTGCCGTCCGCTGGTGTAGCCTATTACCGGCAACTTCAGGAGCATAATGGCAGAATTGGCAAAGGGCAGTGGCAGCGGGAGGAGGAGGGTCTGGTTAGGAACAGGTTTTTTTTCTTCTGGTTAGGCTATATTGATCTCTGGCTCCCTCTTTAGTAATTTGTGTCTTGATTTTGAATTGCAGTGCTTAAAGCATCAGACAAGCTCAGTAACCTACATATAGTTGATTTTATTCAAACAGGGTGTGTCTATATATGGAAAAATACACTTTTAAAATCTTGACCAATCAATTGGTCGAAAGAACAGACTGTCGACCAAGATTTTTTTGGGTCGGGGACAGCCCTAGTTGCAGGCAAGATGGTTCCCTGATCTTCATTCCGAACTGCATTGTTTGAATCTTTCCACCCACTATCTAGAACTTGTACAACTTAGACTAACTTTCCCTTTCATTTAATCTATTGTTTATCATTTGTGCACATTTGTGACCACCTATTGAGAGCATAGTTGTCTTAGGCTGGTTCAACTCACGTTTGTGTTTTGCTGTCATATTCGTGACGCAGATTCTTAGGCAGTGTAACCTGTTGGTTAAAAATGGGTTTGGCATTCGTTTTCCTGTTTACAAGTTTGAGATGTTGGCCTAAGGATAAATCGTAAGTCCATGTTACTAAGAGCTTAACCCTGGTTGAGTTTCATTGTGGTCTCCTTTGCCAGTTTGTAGCATAGCCTGTGGACAGAGCATTGATTGACTCATTCACTCAGGAAGTCATGTATTTTTTCACTGTTTTATTTCTCAATGACAGGAGTGCCTAGTTTCTGGGTTTGTTTGGAAAGGGGGGTGAGGGAGGAGTTTTGCAGACGAAACGTGATGCAACTTTCCCATCCTGTCCATGTCAGACATGCAGTATCTGTAATTATTATTTATTATTATGAGTGTCTCATTGAGAGTGGCCATGTTCTGTGCAGTGTCTCATTGAGTGGCCATGTTCTCTGCAGTGTCTCATTGAGTGGCCATGTTCTGTGCAGTGTCTCATTGAGAGTGGCCATGTTCTCTGCAGTGTCTCATTGAGAGTGGCCATGTTCTGTGCAGTGTCTCATTGAGTGGCCATGTTCTCTGCAGTGTCTCATTGAGTGGCCATGTTCTCTGCAGTGTCTCATTGAGAGTGGCCATGTTCTGTGCAGTGTCTCATTGAGAGTGGCCATGTTCTGTGCAGTGTCTCATTGAGAGTGGCCATGTTCTGTGCAGTGTCTCATTGAGAGTGGCCATGTTCTGTGCAGTGTCTCATTGAGTGGCCATGTTCTGTGCAGTGTCTCGTTGAGAGTGGCCATGTTCTGTGCAGTGTCTCGTTGAGAGTGGCCATGTTCTGTGCAGTGTCTCGTTGAGAGTGGCCATGTTCCGTGCAGTGTCTCATTGAGAGTGGCCATGTTCTGTGCAGTGTCTTTGTTGAGAGTGGCCATGTTCTGTGCAGTGTCTCATTGAGAGTGGCCATGTTATGTGCAGTGTCTCATTGAGAGTGGCCATGTTCTCTGCAGTGTCTCATTGAGAGTGGCCATGTTCTGTGCCGTGTCTCATTGAGAGTGGCCATGTTCTGTGCAGTGTCTCATTGAGAGTGGCCATGTTCTGTGCAGTGTCTCATTGAGAGTGGCCATGTTCTGTGCAGTGTCTTTGTTGAGAGTGGCCATGTTCTGTGCAGTGTCTCATTGAGAGTGGCCATGTTCTGTGCCGTGTCTCATTGAGAGTGGCCATGTTCTGTGCAGTGTCTCGTTGAGAGTGGCCATGTTCTGTGCAGTGTCTCGTTGAGAGTGGCCATGTTCCGTGCAGTGTCTCATTGAGAGTGGCCATGTTCTGTGCAGTGTCTTTGTTGAGAGTGGCCATGTTCTGTGCAGTGTCTCATTGAGAGTGGCCATGTTATGTGCAGTGTCTCATTGAGAGTGGCCATGTTCTGTGCAGTGTCTCATTGAGAGTGGCCATGTTCTCTGCAGTGTCTCATTGAGAGTGGCCATGTTCTGTGCCGTGTCTCATTGAGAGTGGCCATGTTCCGTGCAGCGGCTAGCTCCACTCAGAAAACCCACTGAGGTGTCTCTCTATGTAAATAAGGCATCAGTCCCTTCACTGGTTTGAGGATTTTGTCTCCGATCTTAACTTGTCTGGGACAGCTAAATCAGGGCCAAATCGTGTAGTGTACGCCCGGCTTAATATTTATAGTAGTGTCGCTGTCACATACTCAGTTTTCACTGAGCAGTGACTAATATCAGGTTGCATGCACTGAGACGCCCACAGAGTATAGACGTATTTGTTTTCCCTCAGTGTTGTGTCATAGTCTCAAGTGCAATACTTCCTCCTTAAGTACTTCCTTCCATCAGTTGGCTCAGCTTGGAAGTTTAGCTGAGCTGTGCACCCCCCCAATGGCCACTGATGTTTGGGAAAGATTACCATGATGTAACCTTGCTGTGCTGTCTCAGTTGGGGCGCTAAGTTAACAGAGCTGGTTTAATACATCATCCACAGCATAATGATTAACTTAATCATGCTTAAAGATGTATTCAATTTCTAATTTGTTATTGTTACCCATCTACCAATCACTGTCCTTCTTTGAGGCTTTTGAAAAGCTCCCGGGTCTTTGTAGTTGAATCTGTGCTTGAAATTAAAGACTTGACTGAGGGACCTTACAGATGTTGTACAGTAGGGAAAAAAAGTATTTAGTCAGCCACCAATTGTGCAAGTTCTCCCACTTAAAAAGATGAGAGAGGCCTGTAATTGTCATCATAGGTACACGTCAACTATGACAGACAAAATGAGAAAAAAAAATGTTGAGATCGGGAGAACCTTCCAGAAGGACAACCATCGGTGCAGCACTCCACCAATCAGGCCTTTATGGTAGAGTGGCCAGATGGAAGCCACTCCTCAGTAAAAGGCACATGACAGCCCGCTTGGAGTTTGACAAAATGCACCTGAGAGTCTGAGAGTCTCTCAGACCATGAGAAACAAGATTCTCTGGTCTGATGAAACCAAGATTGAACTCTTTAGCCTGAATGCCAAGCGTCACGTCTGGAGGAAACCTGGCACCATCCCTACGGTGAAGCGTGGTGGTGGCAGCATAATGCTGTGGGGATGTTTTTCAGGGACTGGGAGACTAGTCACGATCGAGGCAAAGATGAACGGAGCAAAGTACAGAGAGGTCCTTGATGAAAACCTGCTCCAGAGCGCTCAGGACCTCAGACTGGGGCGAAGGTTCACCTTCCTACAGGACAACGACCCTAAGCACACAGCCAAGACAACGCAGGAGTGGCTTCGGGACAAGTCTCTGAATGTTCTTGAGTGGCCCAGCCAGAGCCCAGACTTGAGCCTGATCGAACATCTCTGGAGAGATTTGACATAGCTGTGCAGCACCGCTCCCCATCCAACCTGACAGAGCTTGAGAGGATCTGCAGAGAAGAATGGGAGAAACTCTCCAAATACATATGCACCAAGCTTGTAGCGTCATACACTAGAAGACTCGAGGCTGTAATCGCTGCCAAAGGTGCTTCGACAAAGTGCTGAGGAAAGGGTCTGAATACTTAAGTAAATGTGATATTTCTGTATTTTTTTTAAATATATATGCAAACATGTCTAAAAACCTGTTTTTGCTTTGTCATTGTGGGGTATTGTGTGTAGATTGATGAGGGTAAAAAAAACAATTTAATCAATTTTAGAATAAGTCTAACGTAACAAAATGTGGAAAAAGTCAAGGGGTCTTATTCATACTGGTAAATCAATTAAGAACAAATTCTTATTTACAATGACGACCTGTCAGGGAGCGGGCTCAGCATGTATAACCCGCAAATAGGTGTGGCAAGGAACAGTCTTTTGTGCAGAACTTTTTGAATTTGTGGTGAATGTTTTTTTAGATCATGACCAGCTCATGTCCTCCATGAATGTTGTGACACATCATGTTGTAAATCAGTGTCTCGGTTTCTCTTACCTGGGAATAACTGGAGGGCTGTCGTGCAAGTATGTCATACTCTGTCAGGAACATGAACTGGTTCCAGGTACACACAATGTTGTCCTGCTCATACCACAGCTCTTCAAACAAAAACACCTGTCACTGAATAGCGTGTAAAGGAAGGAATGAAAACAGTGAATGGAATCAAAATGTCCTCATTCATCATTTGCCTTTTGTCCATGATTTCAGTCTTTCATTTGTGATGCTTTATTGCAAAACGTGTGATTAATTTGATTGCCCCTATTTCCTCTCTCTCCCCCTCTTCCCAGTCTGCCGATGATGGAACCGCCTTCCAAAAAGGAGCTGATGCCCATGTCCAAGCGGCCAGATGAGTGGAAGGACCCCTGGCGCCGGTCCAAATCCCCCAGGAGACTTCCGGGCATGTCTGGGTCACCACCGCGGGGCCGCCGGCGACACCGGCCTTCTGGATCCTCTGTCTCACTGTCCAACTCATCTAGGTAGCTTTCAATTCAGCCTTACATCTACTTTGGTACTCTGCCTTACATCAACACCTATTTTCTGCAGTATTTCAATCTACTTGAGTGCTAGGTGTTTGTGTGTGTGTGTGTGTGTGTTAAAGAGTGAGGTTAAGTGTGGGTTCTGTTCTGCAGGTCTTCGTCCCGCTCTTCCTCCTACACAGGCTCCGGTTCATCCCGCTCTCGGTCTCGCTCAGGCTCCTCGTCCTTCAGCTCGTACTCCAGCCACTCATCCCAGCGCAGCTCCTTCAGCGGCAGCCGCTCCAGGTCCGTCACACACTCTGCCTTCCTGTCTGTCTGTCCACGCACACCACCACCTAACACTGTCTGTTGAATAGGACACTCATTCACTGAGTATATGGTAACCTTTAATAACCTATGGTCTCCCATAAGATAGCTGACAGAGATGACTTAGGGTTGTATTAATCTTGGGCTTCTGTTTATCTCACTGCAGGTCCAGATCGTTCTCATCGTCTCCATCGCCGACCCCTTCAGCACAGAGGAACGCCAAGGATAAAGTCGAGGACCCACCAGCCCTAGGGCCGAAAGGGTACAGCCATACCCATTCATCCATAGACATGCTGTATATTCATCATACACAACTCACACAGATAATTTGTACTTTTCCTTTCATGGCTCATGAGTCAATAGGTACTGAGTCAATATTAATACTTCAAAGTCTTACATAATAATAGGGTAGTTTGCATTTAATTTACATGCTATATTGTTCACCTTAGACGTGTAGCTAGCATGCTTCTGGTATTAGTCTATAGTCAATCAGTCTCTTGAACAAAGCATGGGTTTTGCCCTCATTAGTATGACGTGTGAATGCTGCACACCAAACAACAAAGCAATGCACTCTTATCCTCAAGCGTCCCATTGAAGCCTGGTACACCTCCCCCTCCTCGTAGGGAGAAGGCTCCCCCCAGGAAGGCTCCCAGCCCACCACTGCCAGGCCAGCCTGGGAAACCCCCCAAACCCACCCCGGAGGGGGGCAAGCCCGCCAACCCCCACGAGGGAGGCCGACCCATGCCGCCTCGGGAGGGAGGCCGACCCATGCCGCCTCGGGAGGGGGGCCGACCCATGCCGCCTCGGGAGGGGGGCCGACCCATGCCGCCTCGGGAGGGGGGCCGACCCATGCCGCCTCGGGAGGGGGGCCGACCCATGCCGCCTCGGGAGGGGGGCCGACCCATGCCTCCTCGGGAGGGGGGCCGACCCATGCCGCCTCGGGAGGGGGGCCGACCCATGCCGCCTCGGGAGGGGGGCCGACCCATGCCGCCTCGGGAGGGGGGCCGACCCATGCCTCCTCGGGAGGGGGGCCGACCCATGCCGCCTCGGGAGGGGGGCCGACCCATGCCGCCTCGGGAGGGGGGCCGACCCATGCCGCCTCGGGAGGGGGGCCGACCCATGCCGCCTCGGGAGGGAAGCAAACCCCTCAACCTGCGGGAGGGCCGACGGAAGGAGAGGCAGCAGCACAACCCACCCAGGAGGTAGGACAGAAGTACACACTTCTACTGGTCAGAGATGGCCATCCGTCTATCACAAGTTCCTCTGTCACATATTAACAGAGCCAACCTGAGAGATCAAGGTTATCCAATGATATACCAAGTAGGGATGGGCATTTGAAATGATTTTACTATTCAAATGATATCATGACATTTGTTTGTATATTTGGATAGTTGAAATGCTGCACACAAATAAAATGCTCTTGACCAATCAAAATGACGCAAAAACACATGGCAGAGGTAAACAGCGGACAGACTGCATTTCCCCGCTAGTTTTGGCTAACAGCAAAAGTGAAAGAGAAGTCTGATTTTCACCGATATTCTGTTACAAAAAGGTTTTCTGGTGAGTGTTTTGCATTGATCTGTTTCAGGTCTTGTTGCGCGCCTATAATTGCTATTAATATTTTGAAGTGTACCGATGTCAGGGCAGACTGGAGGGCTAAATGCGCAGCAGTAGCTCAACGCACTGTTATAAAAGCTAAATTGTGTTTTATTAAATTAAGAATTTCAAGTGTCATGGTACATCCTTGCAGCTAACAATGTCACCAAGGATAATTAAAATGTAATTTAGACAAAGCTTTTTCATTGTTAAAATAGGCCTACAATTATTTAATTTTTTTAAATGAACACTCACTCAAGTAATCGAACACTTGTTCAATTAACCGTGCCCATCCCTAATACCAAGGTTCAATGATTGTTCAAAATATGGCCACAAATCAAGGAGTTTGTATTTTTTATTACTAGCTTATTGCAGTGAACTCTACACTAACTAGAGACTTCACCGGATCGCATTTGAATATTTTGTAAATTAAGGTGTTATCCTTATTTTCAGGCAGTATGTCACAGGTAGGCCTAATACCGGGCGTATTTGTGAGTGTGTGGGTTTTTTATTGAACTTGCACGACAAGTATCCCTCAGCTCACAATGCCACTTTGTATGGCAGGTAGATTTGCATCAGCAGGACTGTGTGTTGGTGAAATAACTATCCTCTGTCTCTGGGTCAGCTGATGGCCATGTCTGGGCCTGCATGGGGAAGAACCCAGGTCTGGTGCTGTGGTCAGGGGAAGGGGAAGGACAGTAAAAGGGTAGGAAAGGACAGCGAGGGGGCGAGCCACTGGCTGTGGTTTCTCTGCCTGCATGGGTAGAATGCACTAGGCTCACGCTGTGTGGGTGGCGTGGTTCTCCCTGTGGAAAATCTAATGTAAAACCTGTTAACCGGGGGTCCTGCAGCTCTAAAGACTCATTGTGCTCCCCTGTAAAATGTTAATTTATTGACTTGACTGCATGTTTATGTAAGTCATTTTGTTCAGAAATGATTCATAGTTAATGGAGCTAAGATTTGACACTTTTCCTTGACACCTTTTATTTAGTGGAACATTAACCATTACGTAATTTCATACCATGGATACATTTTGAATAATGTATGAATGCTTTTCTTTCAATCTCTTTTTAGAGTGTTGATGTGATTGAAACATGGAGGGCTGGTGTGAAAAGTAGTAAAGTAAAGATATTTGCGCATTCTATTAACTTCTGATGTTTATGCCCATCGTTCTAAGAAATGGTGATAAGTAAGACGGGTACAAGATGGATGTGTGTGCATCTTAACGGCTGTCAAGAAATTACGTTATTTCAATGGGTGTTTAGATCACATTAAAACCATGTAATTTATCACACAGCTCAGCCACAACCTGGCACTACTCATTAATTTTAACAAAATATTCTGTCACTCAGAGATTAATGTGCCGCTGGGAGGTTCCCTTTGCAAGAGGAGTAGGTTGAAGACTGTTGTAGGCTATTTCCTAGGTTTTCTTCTCAGGTGAACTTGTGTAGTCAGTCACGACGTGACTTGATGTTAGTGGCGTCATATGAACACAGTTATTGTTCCTGCTCTGAGGGAAATCTCCCTTAATCTGTGATGCACCACTCTACTCCACTGCAGGGACAACAGTTTGTTTTCAGTTAATGAATGTGACCTATAACGCCTTGCCAAGTATGCAATTGGACTGATTAGTTGTTACTGTGATGTACAATCTACTATTAAAATTATGATGATCTCTTCGTTCACTGAAATATGTGCATCTTTCTCTCTCCCCTCTCTCTCTCTATTCCCCTGTTGCAGGCGGACAGTCAGTGGCAGTGTGAGTGGCAGTAGTTACTCTGGTTCCAGCTCTCGGTCCAGATCCCGCTCCTCCTCTGTCTCCATCTCACGCTCTGGATCCAAGAAGTCCAGGTAGGAAGAACCGATCCCACTTCCACTAACTTTCACTACACTGCTTTAAAAGCTGACAATTTAGAGTATTTTGCCTCAGAAATGATTTATTGACTCGGTGCCGGTACCCCCTGTATATAGCCTCGTTATTGTTATTTTATTGTGTTACTTTATTTTTTATTTTACGTTAGTTTAGTTAGTAAATATTTTTTTAGCTCCATTTCTTGAAATGCATTGTTGGTTAAGGGCTTGTAAGTAAGCATTTCACGGTAAGGTCTACACCTGTTGTATTCGGCGCATGTGACAAATAACATTTGATTTGATGCAGGTACCACTTTGAAACTGACATTTTATTGAATCCCTTCTCTCTTCTTGTTTTTCTTTGCTATTTATCCACTGGTCAACTACCTAGAAAATCCAGGTACTATGTCAATTTTTATCTGCCATCTATATTACCCTGGCCTGTACATCTGCCCCTCTCTTCTTTCATCTTAACTGTGATTCATCTTAACCCCCATTTTGCCCCACCACCCACTCATTCACTACCTTCTGTTCTTGTGTGTTTTAATCATAATTTGTCATCCTTAAATAAACATTTTCCCCCACTACAAATATCAATATTCGGTCAATATTTCCTTTAGTATGAGTTAGTGTGTGTACAGGTTTTTGTGACACAGCACTGAGTCTCTCCCTGTGTCCTGTGTGGTCCCTGTGTAGGTCTCTGAGTGTGAGCAGTGTGTCCTCGGCCTCCTCCAGCAGCAGCTCAGTGAGGAGCGCTGACTCAGATGACATGTACGCTGACCTGGCCAGCCCTGTGTCATCAGCCAGTTCCTGCTCCCCCACCCCCGGACAGCCCCACGCCCGCAAGGAGAGGGGCCCGCCACGGGACAGGGGTCCCAACAAGGACAAAGGTAGCAGCTAGGCTTTTGTCATAGACTCTGCGATTCACTCTGGATTGTATTGTGGTTGACGTGTCATCACAGAATGACAGCATTTAGTGGTTCTATGGGTTGTATGTTAGTGATGTATACTGTCTGCTCTCCACAGGGAAGCCCACTAAGAAAGATGAGCCCCATCCCCCCAGAGAGGACCGGAGGAAGATGGATCCCTCAGGCCTCCCTCACAGAAACACCCACGGCTCCATGCCCAGGTCTGGGCCTGGCAGCAGGGGACACGGGCCTGGCGGCCACCCCATGCACCCACCCCACGGTCCCCCCATGGGACCCCCTGGAGGCTACGGCCAGCACAAAGACATCAAACTCACGCTTCTCAACAAGGTGACTACTGCTGGATTTACTGTTGAAAGTAAACTGCTCTCACCTCAACCCAAATAGACTGGGTTGTGAGTGATGAGTCTCTGAATTACTCGTAAGAATATGTAGATTAGTGTTGTCACGATACTAGTATCGAGGGAAATGGTCCTAATGTTGGAAAAAACTGCCTTATGTTGCCACCCAGAGTCACATTTATTTATTTTGCAAGCTATAGCACACAATATTTTACAAAAGTAGGTTTTAAATGACCACAGAGTTCACTCTGCTTCATGTTTTCTTTTTTTGCCAAGGACAATCTGGCATTGTAGTATCACGATACTGGTATCGTGACAACACTAATTTAGATATGAGTGACACTAATGTCATTACAGGGTTTAGAGGTCTGAGTATCTTTGGGGAAGGACAGTTTGAACAGTCAATGTAATAAGTGTCTGACTTCCTCATGCTCTTATCAGTCAGACTGAATAACTAGATGTAGTAATATCAAGCCTCTGTATACCATACTTTTGGTATCGCTGATATTTTCTCTGGGTAGACTGTGTATATACACACATTATTTGAATGCCACCATTGAACATTGAGCAAATGTGATTTTATCTCATTTTAATGTACTGCATTTTGCATTTTTGCTTGTGAACTGTCTGACTAACAATGTCTCTCTCTCTCACTCTGTAGCAGCAGGCAGAGCGGGGTAACAGGAAGCGATACATGCCTTCAGACAAGGACAGGCCTACCTCTCCACTCAGCAAGAGGATAGCATTGTCTCCTGAGAGAGGTGAGGGCCTCAAACTGTCCAGAAAACGCCTTAGTCTGACATGAATAATGTGTTCTTCCCAAGGAACTCACACACACACACACACAAAGATGTGGTTTGGTATACCAAATGTGGAAATCCAACTACCAGAGAAACCTTGCAGTAGGCTGCATTATCTGTTCTTCTTATATGCTACACAGCCACACTAGATTAGACTGACCGAGACAAGCTGTCTGTGTTGAACCTAGTCATTCATCTGAGGCCACACTTCCCTGCTGTATGTAATCAACTTCCCGTCAATGTCCTGCAGGTCGTGGTGACAGGAGGATGCCTGGACGGCCCCCACTCTCTCCTAGAATGGACCGGCCCAGAGGCCAGGGCCCTCGCCCCATGCCACCACCGGGAGAAAGGTAGGTGCCCTCTGTGCTGCTTCTCATCCAAGACTACACACACAACCACAACCTACCACCTCTTTGTTGGTGCTGCCCTTCACCACTGCAGTAGTGATGTCATTTTAGGATGTTAGAGTAACCACAAGCCTTTGTTTTGAATGTGGAACAAGTCACAAAAATGGAAGCCCCAGAAGTATATGATATACACCAATAATACACAGGGCATGTGACCATGATGTCACTATTTATACATCTACACGTATCCTCTCTATCCAGGTACATTTATCCACATGATAACCGTTGTAAATTGTCATAGGCATGTGGCATTAAACCCAAACATGTAATTTATCTCTTTAGAAAACGTCCGCTGTCCCCACCACCCAAGTCGTCTGGGAAAGGTCCAGGGGGGTTGTCCTCGGGCTCAGGCAAGCAGCCCCCAGGCGGCCCAGGCTCAGGCTCTGGCAAGCCCAGCAGCACACTGTCCCGCCGTGAGGAGCTGCTGAAACAGCTCAAAGCTGTGGAGGATGCCATCGCCCGCAAGAGGGCCAAGATCCCAGGGAAATAACCCTCACCCTGCCCGCCCGCCTGTCTACCCAAGTCGCCCAGGCAACATCAAGCATCAAGGGACATAAGTCACCAATACCTGTCAAGAAGCCTAGCGTTCTCTGGAAATGTAAAAAAAAAGGTGTCTTTCCCAAAATGTAAAGGCCATTGTGTAATTGTTCCTGAACAAAATGGCCACCAAAACATTTCTGCTTGTTTGCCCTCAGAGAGAGGTTGTCTAAAATATATTTTACAGTGCTGAACAAAAGTAGTAGCAGGGTGTCACTGTTGCTCGCTCTTGTCTATTTAGTGAGAAGGAACAATCTTCCCATTGTGTCTCATTGATAAGGTGAATTTATATACTTTTGATCCACACTCTGTTTCTCTCTGTCTGCCCCTTTTACTGTCTCTTATCTCTCTCATGTCTTAGATTTTTTTTTTGTGGGGTCGAGTGCTGGTCTTGCCCCATTTGTTCAGTTCTGAAGATCCTGGAAACTGCCTCTAGTCTCCCAACTGGTTCTCTGTACAAACATTCATCTGTATTCATTCAGAATGAGAAACATGCTCACAGGACCTCTTTTTCATGGTGGTCGTGTCTTAACCAATGACTTCTCCTGTTCTAGGTCTGTGCGTTGTGTTCTCTTAGTGTTCATTTTACATACCGTGTACAATAATAGTGAGCATTTGACAAGCACCCATTTTTTTCAAGTGTATGATTGTAGAGAACAAATTGATAGTGATGTGAAGTATTGCTTTTTTTAATCTACCAAAAGAATCTCTAGCTCTTCTCAAGTAATTTACTGTGTTTTATTTGTCCCACATTTTTAGTTGACAGAGTATGAGAGATGGATTGGGGACACCGGAGAATAAGGAGTGTGTCTTGCTTTTGTGACAAAAGGCTTCTAAATAAACTATTTTGATAAAGAGAAACCATCTGTTGTGTCTCTTCCTTCTCCACAATCCTACATGAATTTGATAAATGGATCCATCAATCACTTGTTTTCTATTGTTCCTCACAAGAGATGAAGTGCAATGTATTGCATGTTTATGTACATTTTCACTACTAAATATAATTTGAAAAACTAGGGTTTCTCATGATTACTGCGGATCTTATGAATGCTAATGGTCAGGACACATTATGCTTGCTTGGGTGGGGCAAGGACATCACAGATGCATTCTGATTAACCAATGACATTTGGTGCTTTTCCATTGGCAGTCAATGGCTGGGCTGAGGATTCAGGCAATTACTCTGGAAATGAGACTGTAGGCAAATGTGATTCCATGTAGAAGACTGTTCAATGGTACAAGTCCTATTGAGTTAACATGTTTGTTCTTCGGGGCAGGGATTTGATCATTGGAAAGTTCATGGTACTTGCCCTTATTGGACTCCTCATCTCAGTTTTCACTGAGCCTCTTCAGAGTGGCAGATGTGAATTTGTATCTCTCAGACATGTTAATCAGTAAGCAGACTGATAGTCTAGGGTCCGTTTCATCATGAATGTATTAGAACACATGCTCTAGTAGTCTATCTGCATACAGTGTGATTATTCTGCATACTAAAAGTCCCATACACTGCCTGCTCATTAGCTTACAGATAGAGGGAACTTCTACTATATCACAAAGAACAATACCTATTTATAATGAAGCATGTTTACTGAAACCATGTGGAGTCCTTTCCAGATTTCTCTTTGCCTGTTTATTGGCTTGATGGTGAGGATACCTGTCATTTTGACAATCTCGCCTGATAATGTTTGTCATTATAATGTATACTTACTGGTATGCCCAGTTCTCACTGCTGTACAAACGCCTTATCTGCTTTCTTTGTAACTGACTTGTATTTCTAGAACCAACTCTGTTGGAAAGGTTTCAATCAGGAAAAACACATGAAAAATACTTACGGGAATCGTGGCATCTCCTTGTTCAGTAAGGGTAGGGCTCAGACAGTTTAGATGGGCAGGGAGAGATGAGGCTATTGTGATAAAACCATTGATTGCATTAGAGTGGGAAGATCCAGGCTGCAGGAGAAAGTGTTCACCTTGTAGGAAGGCTGATGAGGTTGTCTAGTGAAGCAGCTACGTAAATATACTGTAATGAGAATTCATCAATCATCATGCTCCGTTTATCATGCTGAATTTAACATGAGCAAATATATTTACAGTTTTTTCCCCCTTTAATTTTTTTGCATACAGTATGTGGTTACATTTATTATTGGTAGAAACCCATGAGAAGGTGTAGTAGGATAGGCCAAAATTAGGCTACATTTATTGTTGGATGCAGATTTGATCCGTTTTATCAGTGTGTGTATAAATGAACAGTTTTGTTACATATCTTCATAATTCCTAGCTTCTGTCTTGACTATGAAAACATCAGTAAGATTACTGTCTGTCAAGGGATGCAGGCTGTCTGATAGTAGGCCTATGGTCAGTATATTGATTATAGCAGATAATCAAATCAATATGGATGAGTATGTATGTGTGTACACAAGCTCATATGGATTAATGTAATAACAGGTGATGTAATGCTGATGTAAACACAAGCCAAGTCCTGACAGTGGGGACACTCACTGTAGGAAAGAGGAAGCAGGGAACTGAATATAGTGATTTCCATTTCCTCCTACATACGGATTTCCCCAAGCAGGTAGTAAGTAGACTTGCCTATAAATTGAAGGATCACTGGCATTATGGCACAAACAGAGCATAAGCACCTGGGCTCCTCTACTAACAAATATATATTTGATATTTGAAAATGCCAGGTCTATTCAAGATTATGCAGGTACGTGAGAGATTGACTGCCCTGATTGGATGAAATGTAGCTACACCTGAATTAATGTTGGGTTACATTTTTATCCATCATTTTGGATTGGCCTTATTCAAATGGTAATTTCTAAATGTAGTTATGTTCGTTTTTATTAATTTATTTCAATCCTTTGCAGACTCTACTTTTACTTGGTATTTTTATTGCTAAATTGACTTGGGCATCAGAGGCACACAAGCATAAGGGATGCTTCAGTGCAGAAGAACTGGAGGATGGAGCTCTTAAGATCTTGCGCCGAAACCGGTACCTGACAGACGGTCATATTGATGAAACACAGTATCACAAACGGGGTACGAAGAAGACCTGCCCTGCTGTGCTTCATTCACAGTCAGTAGACTACAACAACCGTTCAGTCTCCCCCTGGCGGTACAGGTAAGGCATCTCTTTCTACTCCAAGTAAATACTTTCTGGATAGGTCTAACAGTTTTATAGCCTCGTACGAACCATCCTGATCTCGCGAGCTCACATTCTGTTTCGCGACACAGAATGTGAGCAAAGAACGTGAGCTCCGAGATCAGGATGGTTCGTACGCGAGGCTACAATTATACCCATGCAGCCGTAATATTCTCAGTCGGACAATAACATAATTTGTGTCAATGTGCATGCCATATGGCTAGGAAATACATTTTTGAATAGCATTATTAATTGATTAATTGGCTATTTGGATAATTGGAATGTCACTTTTCTCACAGTATCGATATCATGGAGGGACGATTCCCTGAGAAGATTGTTGTTGCTGAATGTCTATGCAAGGGATGTATCATCGTCAAAGGGCCCGGACATCACAGCGCCGAATACGAAGATTATGGATATAACTCTGTGCCGATAGTGCAATCCCAGATGGTTTTGATAAAGACCGTATGCCCGAACAACCCAGAAAAATACTCATTCACATCAGACTTTGTCAAAGTGCCCATTGCCTGCACTTGCGTTAAGGCCAGGACATATTAAGTGCCTCTCATAGAGGAATTTTTTTAGACAAACTGTAGTGACATGTTTCACATTTTGTTGTGTTTGTTTTAAAATGCACTTAAGTTATTGAAAGTATAACACTATGCTTATGGATTGTAAGCTATCGAGAATACATGGATTTTTACATGACACTCTTAGATAAATTAATGTAGTATTTGTGTTGCAAGGTTGTATTTATTTGATTATCTATTAACTATTTATTAGTCTCGTCTAAACAGACGGGTTTCCTCCCACAATGTACCAATGTTCCGGCTGTTGCTCATAGGTCTGGGTTTCAGAGACTAACTATTTATTAAACTATGTTCTCAAACTATTTATTTATCTATGAATTTTGGTGACTTTTGTTCTTCTGTTCCTGTTGTCCCATCACCATAATCAAACATTTTAGATAGCTGCCTCTGTTAAAATTGGAAATGGTAAATATTCGAATTTTCAGACATCTGCTATAATAATCGTTTGATTAGGCTATTCATCAGTTTTGATTTTGACAAATTGTACGTGGGTGATTTATAGAAATGTAGCATAATTTATGGAATTGTATTGTTGTTTTCTTAATAAAGATTGCTAATGAAATATCTGCCCATCTTGCTTTATTTAGGCCAGCCTACAAATTCAAGAATGACAGATCTTCCTTATGCTTGACCAATAAGCCACTTGATCAGTAGACAAAGTGGTTTAATTTAGGATTAAAGGTGGATAAATCTATATACTAAATAATATATACTAAGGTTATTAAATAGGCTAAACAAAGCAACACACAGCCTTGCATTATTACATTAGCCAACAATGTATTATTGAGATTCTTATAATAAAGATTTGAGAATGAGCGCAGTTGAAGTCACTGATCAATATACGTTATGGCTGGAATTGCTTGTAGGCGTCCGCCAATTCTTTATCCCTTTCTTATGTTTTCAGATCTATTAAATTATAACCAATCGGATCCACTCCTGAGCTACCCACATGAAAACGTATAATTTCGGCGACTTGTTTTTAGCAGCATGGCTACAAAAGAGTATCGGGTCTTGAAATAAAAACTGTACAGGACCTCTGCTTTAGCAAGATAAAACATAAATATGACTTCAGCCAAACTGCCTGCACTTAGTGTCCTCACTAAACCTCTCGGAGGTAAGTTAATATTCAGTGTGATTTAACGTTAGCTAAAGACGTTCATCATTATCATGTCTGTGTACAGTGTTAGCTAGCTAAGCCACATGAATAAGGGAAAGCTGTCTAGCCCAACGCTACATTTCATTTGATCCATGTCAGAAGAAAAAGAGCTGTAACTAGTTAGCTTGGTAAAAAAAAAACCTGCAGAGCCTCAAATTGAATCCTGTCCTCCTTAACAAAAACAATTTGTCTGGGTGTAACGTTGTGTGTCTGCTCACTGACCCCCTGTGTCCCCTCCAGAGGCCATGGTGTGTGGTACCCTGACGTACTGAGCGTGGCCCAACAGAAGACACTTGGTGCAGCTCTTCAGTTTGTTGTTTCTCTGGGCCTCTGCCCTTACCTGGCCCCGGGGGTGGGGGTGCCCCTGGGGCGCAGGTCAGCGTTTGGGGCGATGGTGGAGGTGTTGCTGCGTCATGATGTGGCCATTGTCCCTGAGCGCCGTCTCCTGACCACCACCACTGTTCTGCTGGAGCTGTCTGTGCTGTCATCCCTGGCCACCATGGTCTTCACACGCAACCTGGGAGACGTCATGGCAGCACTATGCCAGCTGGGATATCGCCCACACCACCCTGAGAAATGCACCAGTAAGGATGAGAAGGTAATTCACTGTTCAGACCTTTTCATGTTGAATATGGATGTTATTATACCTAGTCCTAGATATCATGAAGATTGAATAGACTCCGTTGTTTTAGCAAAATTAGAAACAAACAAATGCCCACATTTTGCCTATTTGCCATATGAAGTCAAGTGTTTATTGGGATCTCTTCTTTAAGATTTATGTATTGATCACGTACAGCCACTTTACCAGGTGTTTAAAGACAATGTTACATATATGGGCTTTAAAGGGTTAAGCAGACAGAAGAACAAGGAGGCTGATGATGACCTATCTTCTTGTCATCACTGACTGAATTCATATCATCTCTTGTAAAAACGTAGGAGCTCAGCGATGTGGAACGCAAGAACTGCGGGCAGGCTCTCCGAAGCCTTCTGGGAAAAGTTTATCAGCCAATCATCATCAGAGTTTCTTATGCTCCAAGGAGGTCCTAAACACGTAGAGCACAATGCAGTGAAGTGTCGTACACCATTACGTATCATCGTGTTTTGTTTCCATATGTGTATTTGTATATGGTGTCTGTCTGTTCTGTTCTGGTCATGTACATCATGTCTCTCTCTTCCTGCAGGCCCCTCCAGGCCCTGGTGCTAGTGATGCCAGTAGAAACCCTCTGAGCCAGGCTCCCCATGGCTGAGGCGTCTGTGTGGGCAGCTGCTGTCTGAGAGGCTGATGCAGTCCAGTCTGTGGTGAGCACCATTCTGGAGGGGGCGCAGGTGAGCTGGAGACATTTAGAAGATCTGAAATATCAAGTGCTTAAGATAGAGCAGGGAGAGAAACATCTCTACCAATCTTAGGCATTATCATTTGTGTTGAATTATCAATAAGTGTCATTCTTACCTGTTTTATGATAATGCAGGTTCACTGTTTGTTCCATCCCTCTCTAACAGGAGGAGAGTCTGACTGGAGGAAATGTGATGGTGTAGCCAGGATCCTAGCAGCCTGCCCTCAGCAGTGTCTATCTCCACACAGTTACTACAGCCAGGTTTGCCCCCAGGTAAACCTGTCATGTTTTAAAAGATTTCTGGAAATTGAACTTGCTATAGATACTGGCATAAAAGTCATAGTAGTGTCTAGGTTCAGTCTGGTAATAATATTCTCACCTAATGGTCAGATTATGGAGCTCCTGCACTTCAGAGACAAGCTGACAGCTCAGAAGTTCCAGCGTGTGGCCACCAGGGCGGCTCTCACAATGGTGCAGGACCGTCTAGAGTTTACCCAGCAATATCTGCTCATCCCCTCTTCAGCTCCCTCCACTGCTGTGGCCAGATGACAGGTTAGTCAAATTGCAGAGGGAGGTGTTCAGTCCCAGGGTCCTTAGCTTAGTGATGACTTGGAGGGCACTATGGTGTTGAACGCTGAGCTTTAGTCAATGAACAACATTCTCAGTTAGGTGTTCCATTTGTCCAAGTGGGAAAGGGCAGTGTGGAGTGCATTAGAGATTGCGTCATCTGTGGATCTATTATCTTGGTGTTCTTGGGCACAGGGTGGTCTGCTTGAAACATGTAGGTACTATATATATACAAAAGTATGTGGACACCCCTTCAAATTAGTGGATTAGGCTATTTCATCCACACCCGTTGCTGACAGGTGTATAAAATCGAGCACACAGCCATGCAATCTCCATAGACAAATATTGGCAGTAGAATGGCCTTACTGAAGAGCTCAGTGACTTTCAACGTGGCACTGTCATAGGATGCCACCTTTCCAACAAGTCAGTTCATCAAATTTCTGCCCTGCTAGAGCTGCCCCGGTCAGCTGTAAGTGTTGTTATTGTGAAGTGGAAATGTCTAGGAGAAACAACGGCTCAGCTGCAAAGTGGTAGGCCACACAAGCTCACAGAATGAGACCGGCGAGTGCTGAAGCGCGTGGCGCATAAAAATGGTCAGTCCTCGGTTGCAACACTCACTACCGAGGTCCAAACTGCCTCTGGAAGCAACCTTGGCACAAGAACTGTTTGTCTGGAGCATCATGAAATAGGTTTCCATGGCCGAGCAGCCGCACACTAGCCTAAGATCAACATGCGCAATGCAAAGCGTCGGCTGGAGTGGTGTAAAGCTCACCACCATTGGACTCTGGAGCAGTGGAAACACGTTCTCTGGAGTGATGAATCACGCTTCACCATCTGGCAGTCCGACGGACGAATCTGGGTTTGGCAAATGCCAGGAGAACGCTACCTGCCCCAATGTATAGTGCCAACTGTAAATATAGTGGTCTGGGGCTGTTTTTAATGGTTCGGGCTAGGCCCCTGAGTTCCAGTGGAGGGAGATCTTAATCCTACAGCATACAATTACATTCTAGACTATTCTGTGCTTCCAACTTTGTGGCAACAGTTTGGGGAAGGCCCTTTCTTGTTTCAGCATGACAATGCCCCTGTGCATAAAGCGAAGTCCATACAGAAATTGTTTGTCGAGATCGGTGTGGAAGAACTTGTCTGGCCTGGACCTCAACCCCATCGAACACCTTTGGGATGAATTGGAACGGCTGCGAGCCAGGCCTAATCGCCCAATATCAGTGCCCGACCTCACTAATGCTCTTGTGGCTGAATGGAAGCAAGTCCACGCAGCAATGTTCGAACATCTAGTGGAAAGCCTTCCCAGAAGAGTGGAGGCTGTTATAGCTGCAAAGGGGGGGACCAACTCCATATTAATGCCCATGATTTTGGAATGAGATGTTCGCCGAGCAGGTGTCCACATACCTTTGGTCATGTAGTATTACAGACAGTGTCAGGAAGAGGTTGAAAATGTCAGTGAAGACACTTGCCAGCTGGTCAGCGCATGTTCTGAGTACGTGTCCTGGGCAGCTCGCTGCTGGGTTTCCCTTTGTAATCCGTGATAGTTTGCAAGCCCTGCCACATCCGACGAGCGTCACAGCCAGTGTAGTAGGATTCGATCTTAGACCTGTATTGACGCTTTGCCTGTTTGATGGTCCGTCGGAGGGCGCAGTGTGATTTCTTACAAGCGTCCGGGTTAGTGTCCCGCTCCTTGAAAGCGGCAGCTCTAGCCTTTAGCTTAGTGCGGATGTTGCCTGAAATCCATTGCTTCTGGTTGGGATATGTACGTATTGCAAGCTGTGCTGGAGTTTCTCTGAGAGAACAAAATACTACACTGAACAAAAATATAAACACAACATGTAAATTGTTGGTCCCATGTTTCATGACCTGAAATAAAAGATCCCAGAAATTTTCCAGACGCACAAAAAGCATATTTATTTCAAAATGTGTTCACAAATATGTTTACATCCCTGTTAGTGAGCATTTCTCCTTTGCCAAGATAATCCAGCCACTTCACAAGTGTGGCATTTCACGAAGCTGATTAAAAAGCATGATCATCATTACACAGGTGCACCTTATGCTGGGGACAATAAAAATCACTCTAAAATCTGCAGTTTTGTCACACAACACAATGCCACAGATGTCTCAAGTTTTGTGGGAGCCTGCAATTGGCTTGCTGACTGCGCAAATGTCCACCAGAACTGTTGCCAGATAATTTTATGTTAATTTCTCTACCATAAGTCGCTTTCAATGTCGTTTTAGAGAATTAGTCAGTACATCCGAACGGCCTCACCACCGCAGACCACGTGCAACAACACCAGCCCAGGACCTCCACCTCTGGCTTCTTCACCTGCGGGATCGTCTGAGACCGGCCATCTGGACAGCTGATGAAACTGTGGGTTTTCATAATCAAATAATTTCTGCGCAAACTGTCAACATTTTGGCGACTTCAGAGGGCAAATGCTCACCTTTGATGGCCACTGGCACGCTGGATAAGTGTGCTCTTCACAGATGAATCCCGGTTTCAACTGTACCGGGCAGATAGCGTCGTGTGGGCGAGTGATTTGCTGATGACAACGTTGTGAACAGAGTGCCCCATGGTGGCGGTGGGGGTATGGTATGGGCAGGCATAAGCTATGGACAACGAACACAATTGCATTTTATCGATGGCAATTTGAATGCACAGAGATACCGTGATGAGGTCCCTGAGGCACATTATCGTGCCATTCATCCGCTGCCATCACCTCATGTTTCAGCATGATAATGCACAGCCCCATGTCGCAAGGATCTGTACACAATTCCTGGAAGCTGAAAATGTCCCAGTTCTTCTGGCCTGCATACTCACAAGACATATGTCACCCATTGAGCATGTTTGGGATGCTCTCGATCGACGTGTACCACAGCGTGTTCCAGTTCCCGCCAATATCCAGCAACTTCGCACAGCAATTGAAGGAGTGGGACAACGTTCCACAGGCCACAATCAACAGCCTGATCAACTCTATGCGAAGGAGATGTGTCATGCTGCATGAGGCAAATGGTCACACCACATACTGACTGTTTTTCTAATCCACGCCCCTACCTTCTTTTTTTTAATGTTTCTGTGACCAACAGATGCATATCTGTATTCCCAGTCATGTGAAATCCATAGATTAGGGCATAATGAATTTATTTCAATTTACTGATTTTCTTATGAACTGTAACTTAGTAAAATCGTTGAAGTTGTTGCATGTTGCGTTTTATATTTTTGTTCAGTGTAATTAGTTACCTATGTTAGTTTGTTAAAAATTAAAAAATGTGTAGGCTATATAACTGAAAAATAACCACCACTGTTGATAGCGTGAAGGGGTGATTTCAGCTGCTTACCATTTCCTTTTTCTATAAAAATAATTTGCTCTGTGCATTAGGGGAATTGACACTGCTGCAGATAAAGACTCCACTGTGATGGGTTCTGATTTATAAACTTTAAAAATGAAAATATCCTTATTCATGTTACTGAGGGAGAGAGGGGAATGCAGAAAGTTTACATTCTGTCAGAACATGTTATTGTTAGAATTAGGTGTCCTATGGAGAGGAGAAGGGCCACAGTCTGGTTTCAGTTGTTGGGTTGTAATTTGAAATACTTGCTACACCAGAAGTTAATGGTTATATGTAGGAGGAATGTATATGGTGGGGTCAATGGAGGTTGGATATGAGCCAGGGGCTTGGAATGTTACTAAGTAAGGGAAAAGGCAATCGCATGGTTGCGGTCACTGATAAAGGTGGATAGCTGTGGATTAGTGAGGAATGTGGGCCGAGGTCAGGTCACATGAAGGGAGAAGGAACAGTTTATTACCCGTATCACTTAACTTTCTGTCTAGCAACAGAGATGTATTGGCTGTCCAGATGTGTAAGGAGGAGACTCAGCATAGGAGGAAGATTTAACATTTACATTTTAGTCATTTAGCAGACGCTCTTATCCAGAGCGACTTACAGTTAGTGAATACATATTTTTTTTATACTGGCCCCCCGTGGGAATCGAACCCACAACCCTGGCGTTGCAAACGCCATGCTCTATCAACTGAGCTACATCCCTGCCGGCCATTCCCTCCCCTACCCTGGACGACTTGTGCGCCGCCCATGAGTCTCCCGGTCGCGGCCGGCGGCGACAGAGCCTGGATTCGAACCAGGATCTCTAGTGGCACAGTTAGCACTGCGATGCAGTGCCTTAGACCACTGTGCCACTCAGGAGTACAGTGCTTTAAATACCAGTGCTTGTGTAAATATGTCTTTTTCTTTTCAGCTGTTTGACCCAGTGGGTGAATGAACTTGGTTTGAGCTTTTCCTAGTTGTCCGTTTAGTTTTTACTCTGTTTATTTAGAACCTAACAACTGGCTTTTAATTAGTCTGCCGATCAATGCCCTGAAAATGACGCTTGGTGTGTGTGCTCGTGCGTACGTGTCTGTGAATGTGTGTGCCCGTGTGTGTGTGTGCGTTTGTGTGTGTACGTGTGTGTGGGTGCCCATACCTGTGTTTGTAAATTGTGGTGTTGCTTGAGCAGCACTCAATAAAGTGGGGCTAATTGAATATGGATCTCGCCCTGCTGTTTACAGACCTGTGGGCGGGCTGCTGCTTTGACAGATAGATCGGAAACAGACACAGCAGAGCTGCATCATCAAAAGGCTCCTCACTGAGCTGCTTAACACATGACACTTCTACCCTATGAGATAGTCTCTTTCTGTTTTGAATATTCAATAAGTATCTACATTTGATTTAATTCCTGCCCCAGTTACTATCAATATTTTTTATTTTTACTAGTGAAATTCTTGTTCACTATTTCTAATGTCTGCTCCCGTTAGGCTCCAGGTACTGAGTATGTCTGTATTTGTTAGGAGACGGTCAAACCCAGGACACAGTAGAGGAATGGGAGCTGACGCGCTGTGTGGAGGATGTGTTTAAGGTGAGTGGAACACGGACGATTAACTCAACCATGAGATACGGTGAGATCTACTGTATCACTCTCTCCCTCCATCTCTCTCTCTCAGATCTGTGTGGTGTGGAACAGCCCATCTGCCCATTTGCTGAAGGCTCTGGGAGAGGTGATTCCTGTTCTCTTTGATCTGTACTGCTTCACCAAAAATAACGCTTCCCACCTACCGTCAGTTCTCTGTTGTAATGCTTCTACTGCTGAGTATTTCTGTATCTGGCTATTACTATATAGCTTTCTATTTCTCAACAAGCCCTATTTGTGATGGTCACTTCAGCAATGTAACAATGGTTTCACCTGTATCTTGTCATGGATTGGTCTCTGCTTTTTGGATAGTTTCTAACTTTTCCCTGTATGATGTGTGCTCCACAGCGCCCCCTGTCAGGAGATCCTGCTCTGGTACTTGGGCCACTGAGCCTCCTATGTCCCTGTCAACCCTAAAGCAGCTGTGTGCCCTGGACAGAGTGATGGGCAGGTTGGCCTCTGGGTTCCACTTCACACCTGGCAGTGAGAGATGGGCACAGCTTACCCCCTCAGAGACAGTCAGGTGACTGGTATTCAACATCACACAATAACTGGTCCCCAATGCTTCCCTTCCTTTAGGGGTAATCACTGATCTGATATGAATGGGATTGATTAAACTAATGTAGTGGAAACCACACATTCACCTATCCAATCATGTCATATCATGGATTACTCCAAGGAGGGGTGGAAAGACAAAACTATAAACTGTTCAAACACGTTCGAATCTCTCCCCTCCTCTCCTCTACCTTGCATGTCTCAGTAATGAGGATGATGCTCTGTATGAGAAGGTGTCTGGGGAGCAGTGTCTGGCCCAGCTGCTGGCTGAGATGAAGGACAGTGACCTGCCTGGAGACTTCTTCCTGGAGCTGCTGCAGGTAGCTACTGTACCACACACAGACACAGAGAGGCAGCCTATGGCTTTGGCCATTAGTCTTTATTGTCCTGCTGCGTTGCCCAGGTGGTGTTGGTCTGTAACTATGGATGCTCATTTCCCTGCCATGCCCTGACTTGCTGGGCTGAAGAGGAACAGGAAGTGGACACGTCAGCCATGACAATACTGCAGCTGGAGCAGCATCTGTTAGGGAAAGTCACAGGGCGGGGTCAGAAGTTCGCTCTACTGCAGGTGCTGGCTGTCATGTGTGAAGGTCTCCCTCATACTCTACTGCTGCGCAAGCCAACCCAGATAACGACTGTTATACACCCCACAGCTAACCTTAAGGACCTTACTCTTGTTCAAGATTGGACCATGTCGGATGCCAATAGTTGACCAATATAGTATTTTCTTTTCACTGCATAACTATTCATCTCCACCCACTACAGGTTTCATGAAGCTTCAGTCTCCCATCACTTCTGTTCTTAAGTCAGTTCACCACCTCATTACTTGTAGTTTTCTGATTAGCGTTTATAAAACTTTTACTTTAAAGCTACAATATGTAACTTTTTGGACAACCTGACCAAAATCACAGTTATAGATCTTTCATTGTCATTGAAAGCAAGTCTAAGAAGCGGTATATCTGTTCTATGTGTGATATTTCGATACTTCCCGTTCTTAAGTTTTTGCGTCTTTTACTTTCAGTTTTGTACACCAGCTTCAAACAGCTGAAAATACAATATTTTTAGTTATGGGAAATATATTTCACAGTGGTTTAGATGGTACAATGATTATCTACACAATCCTTGCTTGCTTTGTTACATAAACTGAAATTAGGCTAACTATTAGAATTTTAGCAACCAGGGATGGCAGAGTGATTTCTGTGTAGTTCACCTTTAAGCGTCTCTGTCCTCTCCCTCAGCATCAGGGCTTTACAGAACACTGGTCATCTGGGCCTCTTTATTAAGGAATGAGGGCATGTTGACTAATACTTTAAGAGCTCTAAGAATAGCAGTGTCTATCTCTGATGAGGTAAAAGACCCAGGGCTAACACTGTGCCATTTTTCCTGAGGTAAACCACTCACGCTCATGTTAGGAAACGTCTCTGATAAACTGGTCTCAGTTTGTTTGATAAGCAGTATTTTTAGCTGTCTTATCTCTACCGCCCTCAGCCAGGTTTTTTTGCTGAGAACTTTAAAAAAAAGTTGTATGTTTTAAGTCTGAGGGAGGATGTAATGGCACTATTTAGTAGACACCTAGTGGTAGGAAATGTGTGGTTTGTACAAGCAGGTGTCTGTCTGTCTGTCTGTCTTGTATCTCAGGTGTGTTGTCTGTCCTCTCCCAGGTGGTGGAGTTCACCGTGGCTATGCTGCAGAGGGCCTGTGTGGGTATGGACCAGGTCCGGGGTGTTGAGGGGCCAGTGGAGACCCAGACCCTCAGCATGGGAATGGGCCTGGTGGGCACCCTGCTCTCAGGACCGTCATCGGTACACGCATGTACGTACGCACGTACGTACATACGTACGTTCAGGCAGCAGGCTTTATCATTGATACTACTGATACTGCTACTAGTATGCTACTATGTGGATGTGGTCATACTGTATATTATGTGGTATTTTGTTTTGATGTCTCTCTTTCTCGCTCTCTTTGTCTCTTTGTCTCTCCTCTCTCTCTCTCCTTGTCGCAGCTGAGTGCTGAGGACTACTCAGGAATGTCGAGGCTCCTCCCACCCCTGGAGGAGATTTCCCAGAGGCACCCTGAGGTGGTGATCCGTCACACACAAAAACCACACATCATGGGAGAGGCTCCAGCAATAGACTCATTATCTTTTAGCGTGTAGATTTGACCACACAAAGAAGGAAGCGTCTGCAGCTTTCCTCAATGACGCAGTCACCCAAGGATCTGACAGATTCATCATGAGCTGTTTTGTGAGGGACATGTGTATGAATGAATGTGAATGTGCTTACTCATGTTTGTGTGTTATAACAGTGGATCAGGCCTAATTGTAGTCAGAAAGACATAAAACAGTCGTAAATCAGACAGTACATGCATGTTCCACACTCAGAGGTTTGTTTGGAGGGGACTGTATTGTTTGGGGTTTTCCCCTCTGCCAGATCTCGATAGTACCATTTCCCGGGACAAGTGAGGGTTTATTCGGCATACCCCCCTCCCACTGCCTTGTCTTGGATGTGAAAGGCACCCAGACAGACCAGCGACAGTCTCTCCTTGGCCCTGCTCCACCAGTCTAACAGAACATCATCTCAGCTTGCCCCATTAGATACCCACAGGGATATTTTGTCACTCATGCGTCTGGGAAACTACCTCTGCCCGCAAACCCACATATTCGGAACAATTATGATCAAACCATAGTGCCCCACGTTCTGTATCTGTCCAAATCCTCAGTGCACAATGGTAGTAAATGGACAGGAGAAACTGGACGATTTACATGCCTTCTAACCCAGATACACACACACACCTGTTTTCTCTTTCATTAAGGCAACTATAATCGTGACCCTCCTTTGAAACGTGTCTCTGACTGAGGAGTGGCCAGCTGAACTGGTGTGTGGGGGGTATCTGGAGGGTACAGGGTTGAGGCCTGGGCAGGCTGAATGATACCTCTCATAGCTTAGAATTAGGAATTACAATACAAATATAGAATAGTAATTTAATAGGATCTGTATGTGTCATGGTGGGTCTATCTGTCTGGTCCAGCAGACTCAGCTGCAGGGACCCAGGCCCAGTCCACCCGTCTGGGTCTTACTGGGACACCCAGTCACCTGGCCAACTCCATGGCTCCACTCCCACTGCTTTGAGCTGTAGAATAGAGCAGGTTTAGCCCTATCAGTGGGGGGCTGTATCAGTAAGGCAGATATACACACTCTTACACTCTCTCATACACACACACCCTGAAAGGAATAAAGTGTCTTCTCTATTTAAGCTTCTCCTCAGATATAGCAACCGCTTTTGCAAAAAAAAAACAATGACTCAGCACTTTGTATAATTCCAAGATGGCGTAGCAGTGTGGTCGTGTTTTCTGTAGTGTCCTCATGTAAATAGCCTGTTTTTTTTCATATATATTTCTCAATCTCACTTGCCATCCTTTAACTAAATATACTTTCCTGCAACCCGCCTCACCCAATGTGGAACGGATTCTATTATTTCTATACCTTCGTATCTAGTACATCCGTCTGAAACTAGCCAGCTAGCCAGCTAACTAGCTACTTGCTATTAGCCACCGTTAGCGTTCTTCACCATTGTCTGTGGCCTGCACTACCTACCAGCCAGCTCTAGCCTGGACAACTATCGGCCAACTATCGAGCCATAGCATATCGGATTTTCTGCCGGAATCACTGGACCTTAACACCGGATCATCGCAACTAGCTAGCTGCAACCGAATGGCTGTTGTTGTTGGCTAATCACCACTGTCCATTAGCAAGCCCCAGTTAGCCTTGAGCTAGCCTCGAGCCAGGCCCATCTCCCGGCTATTTACCTCTCTGTCAACCGGACGGGACCTCCTAGTGTTGACACGGAGCCCCGCCGATCCATCACGACTGGTCTGCCGACGTAATCGTCTGATGTGGTTTCAACAGGCTTCCCGTTGCGACGACCACGAAGATCCATCTGCCCCTTTTATTCTCTGTACCCAACGTACTAGAAGACCAGTTCTTAAAGCCTTTAGCCGTATCCTTATTCTATTCCTCCTCTGTTCCTCTGGTGATGTAGAGGTTAACCCAGGCCCTGTAGCCCCCAGTATCACTCCTGCTCCCCAGGCACTATCATTTGTTGACTTCTGTAACTGCAAAAGCCTTGGTTTCTTGCATGTTAACATCAGAAGCCTCCTCCCTAAGTTTGAGTTATTCACTGTGTTAGCACACTCCGCCAACCCTGATGTTCTAGCAGTGTCTGAATCCTGGCTTAGGAAGGACACCAAAGATTCAGAACTACAACATTTTCCGTCTAGATAGAACTGCCAAAGGGGGCGGAGTTGCAATCTACTGTAGAGAGTTGAGCTTCTACTTCTAAAAATCCACCTTTCCAGAAATAAGTCTCTCACTGTTGCCGCTTGCTACAGACCCCCCTCAGCCCCCAGCTGTGCCCTGGACACCATATGTGAATTGATTGCCCCCCATCTATCCTCAGAGTTCGTATTGCTTGGTGACCTAAACTGGGATATGCTTAACACCCCGGCCATCCTACAATCTAAACTAGATGCCCTCAATCTCACACAAATTATCAAGGAACCTACCAGGTACAACCCTAAATCTGTTAACATGGGCACCCTCATAGATATCATCCTGAATAATTTACCCTCTAAATACACCTCCGCTGTCTTCAACCAGGATCTCAGCGATCACTGCCTCATTGCCTGCGTCCGTATTGGGTCTGCGGTCAAACGACCACCCCTCATCACTGTCAAACGCTCCCTAAAACACTTCAGCAAGCAGGCCTTTCTAATTGACCTGGCCCAGGTATCCTGGATGGATATTGACCTCATTCCATCAGTAGAGGATGCCTGGTTGTCCTTTAAAAGTGCTTTCCTCTCTATCTTAAATAAGCATGCCCCATTCAAAAAATTCAGAACTAAGAACAGATATAGCCCCTGGTTCACCCCAGACTTGACTGCCCTTGACCAGCACAAAAACATCCTGTGGCATACTGCATTAGCATCGAACAGCCCCCGCGATATGCAACTTTTCAGGGATGTCAGGAACCAATATACACAATCAGTTAGGAAAGCAAAGGCTTGTTCAAACAGAAATTTGCATCCTGTAGCACTAACTCCAAAAAGTTTTGGGACACTGTAAAGTCCATGGAGAATAAGAGCACCTCCTCCCAGCTGCCCACTGCACTGAGGCTAGGAAACACTGTCACTACCGATAAATCTATGATAATCGAAAATTTCAACAAGCATTTTGCTATGGCTGGCCATGCTTTCCACCTGGCTACCCCTACCCCAGCCACCAGCTCTGCAACCTCCGCTGCAACCCCCCCCCCCCCCCCCCCCCCCCCCCCCCCCCCCTTCTCCTTCACCCAAATCCAGATAGCTGATGTTCTGAAAGAGCTACAAAATCTGGACCCCTACAAATCAGCTGGGCTAGACAATCTGGACCCTTTCTTTCTAAAATTAGCCGCTGAAATTGTCGCAACCCCTATTACCACCCTGTTCAACCTCTCTTTCGTATCGTCTGAGATCCTCAGAGATTGGAAAGCTGCCGCGGTCATCCCCCTCTTCAAAGGGGGTGACACTCTAGATCTAAACTGTTACAGACCTATATCCATCCTGCCCTGCCTTTCGAAAGTATTTGAAAGCCAAGTTAACAAACAGATCACCGACCATTTAGAATCCCACCGTACCTTCTCCGCTATGAAATCTGGTTTCCGTGCTGGTCATGGGTGCACCTCAGCCACGCTCAAGGTCCTAAACAATATTATATCCGTGATTGATAAAAGACAGTACTGTGCAGCCGTCTTCATCGACCTGGCCAAGGCTTTTGACTCTGTCAATCACCGCATTCTTATTGGCATACTAAATATCCTTGGTTTCTCAAAGGACTGCCTCGCCTGGTTCACCAACTACTTCTCAGATAAAGTTCAATGTGTCAAATCGGAGGGCCTGTTGTCTGGACCTCTGGCAGTCTCTATGGGGGTGCCACAGGGTTCAATTCTCGGGCCGACTCTATTCTGTGTATATCGATGATGTCGCTCTTGCTGCTGGTGACTCTCAGATCCACCTCTACGCAGACAACACCATTTTGTATACATCTGGCCCTTCATTGGACACTGTTAACAAACCTCCAAATATTTACATTTACATCATTTAGCAGACGCTCTTATCCAGAGCGACTTACAAATTGGTGCATTCAACTTATGATAGCCAGTGGGACAACCACCTTTAAAAAAAAAATTAAATGGGGGGTGGGGGAAGAAGGATTACTTTATACTATTCCAGGTATTCCTTAAAGAGGTAGGGTTTCAAGTGTCTCCGGAAGGTGGTCAGTGACTCCGCTGTCCTGGCGCCATGGGGGAGCTTGTTCCACCATTGGGGTGCCAGAGCAGCGAATAGCTTTGACTGGGCTGAGCGGGAACTGTGCTTCCGTAGAGGTAGGGGAGCTAGCAGGCCAGAGGTGGATGAACGTAGTGCCCTCGTTTGGGTGTAGGGTCTGATCAGAGCCCGAAGGTAAGGAGGTGCCGTTCCCCTCACAGCTCCGTAGGCAAGCACCATGGTCTTGTAGTAGATGCAAGCCTCAACTGGAAGCCAGTGGAGTGTGCGGAGGAGCGGGGTGACATGAGAGAACTTGGGAAGGTTGAACACCAGACGGGCTGCAGCGTTCTGGATAAGTTGTAGGGGTTTAATGGCACAGGCAGGGAGCCCAGCCAATAGCGAGTTGCCGTAATCCAGACGGGAGATGACAAGTGCCTGGACAAGTGCCTCATCCCCATATTGTTATTTATTTTGCTCATTTGCACCCCAGTATCTCTATTTGCACATCATCTTCTGCACATCTATCATTCCAGTGTTAATACTAAATTGTAATTATTTTGCACTATGGCCTATTTATTGCCTTACCTCCATAACTTACTACATTTGCACACACTGTATATAGATTTTCTATTGTGTTATTGACTGTACGTTTTGTTTATCCCATATGTAACTCTGTGTTGTTGTTGTTTTTATCACACTGCTTTTCTTTATCTTGGCCAGGTCGCAGTTGTAAATGAGAACTTGTTCTCAACTTGCTTACCTGGTTAAATAAAGGTTAAATAAAGAAAATGTGGACCACCAGGCAGGTAGTGATGTCATGTTCTCCTGAGGTGCGTTTGAGGACAGACATGGGGAAGGTTCCTCATCACTGTCAGCAGCCAATAGTCAATTTTGCTTGCAGACTTGCTCTGTGCAGTACTCAGGAGGTGAGAACCACTAGTAAACCATGTCATACAATACGTTTTGTAGTGATTCCTATGTTGTTGATGTGAATAATATTTGTTGGTCCGTGGTGTGTAATGACGAGCAACCAGACGCTGCATTTGACACATTTATGAAATTGCTTATCCCAGTTACTAATAAGCATGCACCCATTAAGAAAATGACTAAAAACTGGTAAATCCCTGTGGATTGATGAGGAATTGAAAAATGGTATGGTT